AGTATCAGCGTGTGAAGCTTTAACAAAAATTCTCCAGGCTGATGACTGAAACGTGACCCGTTTCCCAAAGCGAGAAATCGGAAGGAGCTGACATGTTCAAAATTGAGGGAAAACCTCGCACAGATTTCCCCATTTTGGGGGTGGGCTTGGTCTCAAAAGGTAGGGCTCAATTTACAGATAGGCCTTAACTTTACAGGTAGGCCTCAACTTACAGGTAGGCCTCAACAACTTACAGCAGCTCATTTAGTGACCGTTCAACGTTACGACGGCAGTGGGAAAAAGTGGCTTGTGACCGCTTTTATGGCCCCGATAGCACAGTGGTTAGAGAGCTGCACTGCAGGGCACTTCTGCTGACTATCAGCTGCCTGCAATTTGGGCAGTTCAAATCTCACCAGGCTCAAGGTTGACTCAGCCTTCCGTCCTTCCGAGGTGGGTAAAAGGAGGACCAGATTGTTGGGGGCAAGAGGCTGACTCTAAGCTGCTTAGGGAGGGCTGTAAATGCACTGTAAAGTGGTATATAAGTCTAAGTGCTATATAAGTCTAAGTGCTAGTGCTATATTGTCATTTGTTTGGAGGTGCTGAATGGCTGATGTTTCTTTTCCCTCCCTCCCTCCTTCCTTCCTTCCTTCCTCCTTCCCTCCCTCCCTCCCTTCCTTCCTCCCTCCCTTCCTTCCTTCCTTCCTTCCTCTCTTTCTCTCTCAGGAGTCCTGGTGGCACAATGGTTAGAATGCAGCATTGGAGGCTGACTCTGCCCACTGCCAGGAATTCGATCCTGACCGGCTCAAGGTTGACTCAGCTTTCCGTCCTTCGAAGGGGGGTAAAATGAGGACCCAGATTGTTGGGGGCAACAGGCTGACTCTGTAAACTGCTTAGAGAGGACTGTAGAAGCACTGTAAAGTGGTATATAAATCTATTTACTTCCTTCCTTTCTTCTCCATTAAATACTTCCTCTTTCTTCTATCCTTCCATATATAAGTCTACTGCTTTCTCTCTCTCCTCCTTCCTTCCTTCCTTCCTTGATTCCTCCCTCCCTCCCTCCCTCCCTCTTTCTTTCTTTCTTTCTTTCTTTCTTTCTTTCTTTCTTTCTTTCT